TTTTTTCAGGTTTCATTTTAGTTTGTTTTAGTAACTTTTAGTACATTTGTCATTTATTAGTTTTAAGGTTTTTTTTCTTCTTCAGTTTTAGCAATTTTAGTAGCCATTTTATTTTTGTTAGTTGCCAAGGCAGCATTTCTAATTTGTTTAAATGTAAGTTATTAATCTAAAAGAAAATTTTTTTTATTTTTTATTTATTTATTTTAGTTCTATTATTTTTAATAGTTTTAGTTTTGATTTGTCAACAACAATTCTAATCAGTCCAATCAGATAACTATAAAATACCCAGTAGCATCAGTTTGAGATACTATTATAGTTTTTTTTTTTTTTTTCAATTTTGAAACAGTTTTTAGACTTTTTTTTTTATTTTTATTTTTTAGATTTTTTTTTCATTTTAATTCAAAGTTAATTATTTTGTTTTTATTTTTAGTATTTAAAAATTAATTCAATTTTTGTTTAGTACATTAAGTTAAACTAAATCAAAATGAGAAAAGTTGAAAAAAAAAGTTTTATATTTTAGAAATTTGTTCAATTAATATTTATTTTATTTCAAGTAACTATTTTTTCAATTGTATATAGGTGAGGTTAGTGTTGGCCAGATGGCTCTGGTAACAGTGGGAAGCAGTGACGCCTCACACAGGCTGCAGAGGGCATCTCTGATCTCTTCTCCACCTCAGGTCGACTCTTTCGGGTGAGTACTGCTGTCTTCACAAAGTGTGATGATCTCCTAACGGTTGCAGGTTGAAGTACAGACAAGGAAGTGGGACATACTTGTACCCTGAACAAACAAAGGCTCTTTCAAACCTTCCCAATTCCTTTTAACTCTAGTCTAGCTCTATAGCGAGAAGAATGAATGGTGCAATATTGATTTTTCTGACCCTTATTATATCAGTCAAGATGAAATCTTTATTTTTGTGTGCTCTAGGTTTCCAGTGTTTCAGCCGCTCACTGAATCCTGCTCTGAATTACTCCCTGCCACCTTTCTTCTCAAACTACAGCCACCGTTACCCATGCTTATGACCTTCATAGAGAAAATGGGCAAAATCACAGGTGCATCATACATCGAGAGACACTTAAAAATCGATTGTTTTTTAACCATATCATGTACCGATGCCAAGTAACCGGTCTCCAAACATTACTCAGATGGTGTAATAGCTGAGAAACCCCAGCAGGTGGAGCCTCTACCTCAACTTCTCTTGAACACCAGCAAAACGCTGAGCTCCAAGATCTCCTGGACAGACGGGGTGCAGTTTGTTGTGGTCTGTTTGCAACCCAAGCCACTATACTTTACATAAACAACCAAGTTTGCCATGATAATTACATATATTGCACAGAGAGATTACGGGATATTCAGAACGTTTGTTTGGTTGGTTCATTACTGGCTACTCTACAATATTTGCATTGAATTGTGTTTGTCATTCTTTGCTGCTAGAAGATGTTTGTTTTGGGACAGCAGAAGCAGACGTTCATTGATTTGCTCTTCTCTGTTTCGGTCTTATTTACCTTGGTTACCGTCTTTAATGTTTCTCAGCCATTGCCTGCCTCTGAGTACCACAGTTATGTGTTCCCTGCTCACTGAATCTCTGAATTACTCCCTGCCACCTTTCTTCTCAAACTACAGCCACCGTTACCCATGCTTATGTCCTTCATAGAGAAAATGGGCAAAATCACAGGTGCATCATACATTGAGAGACACTTAAAAATCGATTGTTTTTTAACCATATCATGTACCGATGCCAAGTAACCGGTCTCCAAACATTACTCAGATGGTGTAATAGCTGAGAAACCCCAGCAGGTGGAGCCTCTACCTCAACTTCTCTTGAACACCAGCAAAACGCTGAGCTCCAAGATCTCCTGGACAGACGGGGTGCAGTTTGTTGTGGTCTGTTTGCAACCCAAGCCACTATACTTTACATAAACAACCACGTTTGCCATGATAATTACATATATTGCACAGAGAGATTACGGGATATTCAGAACGTTTGTTTGGTTGGTTCATTACTGGCTACTCTACAATATTTGCATTGAATTGTGTTTGTCATTCTTTGCTGCTAGAAGATGTTTGTTTTGGGACAGCAGAAGCAGACGTTCATTGATTTGCTCTTCTCTGTTTCGGTCTTATTTACCTTGGTTACCGTCTTTAATGTTTCTCAGCCATTGCCTGCCTCTGAGTACCACAGTTATGTGTTCCCTGGGGCCGTTTGGGGCCGAGAGTCCTGGAAAGGAGCCTTAATTCACACAGTCCCCTTCACACACCCCGGCCACGTCCCTGCCTTACTGGATCTCCTTCGCCATCAGTCTGCCATCAACCTCCTGCTGGCAAGCTGCTTCAGTAACCACAGCCAGCTCATAGGTCATTAGACTGGCGGCACGTTCTCCTGGCCTTCTCAGACTCATTTGTCGTAACTTAAGAACTAAAGTTTTTGCCTTCTCTCTATTCTTATACTGTAGATGCTGGCTTGCTGTATGACCTGAGATGTGAGATCCTTCCAGAATCAGACCACTGCCTTTCTGTTACATTCAGCCTTGATGATAACAACCACCTGGCTGTTCGTAAGGACCGTTACACACTATATTAAAAATTAGATTCACTATACTATAAATGCAAATTCATTGCGTGCTATCTGAAAGGTTTGTTGTTTTTTTTCTGTGCTAGTTCAGGTGACGGTGGTGGACTCTCATCAGATGAGCTGCAGACTTCTGATGCCTGATTTTGTGGATCATAAATTGGACGACTACATATCCAGAGTCCTTACACGGTGAGTCCAACATTTTGCATCACTATTGCACATGCTCACTAATAATGATGCCATTTTGCATATGCAAACTGTTTTGTTAATCGTATCAATAACAAACTCGATACTTAAAGGCTTAGTTCATGCAAAACTGAATATTGGCATCAGTTACAAAAATTCTCTTCCTCACCCAAAACTTTGCACGAGTTCATAAATGTTACTGCTGTAAACAAAGCAGCTGTGCATATAAACACTAATATGCATTATACAGAGGCGAGAAGCAAAAAAAAGACCATGTATTATTTGCTGAAAACAGAACGATACTTAAGAGATACATTCATATAAACCCTTCACCCCCAATTCAATATTCAGGATTTTCTGCTCTGCCTGCTACACTATTTTCTCCTCTTTGCATCAGTCTTCAGCGTCTCTGGACTCTGTTAACGGCCGTTTACCGCCTTCGTAATATTTCCACACAAATGACATTTTGGAAAATTATTGCAATGCAGTTTGTGCAAATCTGGCACAGAGATCGGCTGAAATTAAAACCGTTGCATACTGTGCAAGTAATTAGCGATCGTTTTGTAGAGAAATGAAAACCGGTCGCACCACAACAATTATTTGCACTCGCACAAATGCTCCAAAATATATTTTTAGGTCGCAAAGATTAAATTTCGGGAGCATATGCGACCAAAACGGTCACAATTTCCTGCATAGAGGACATAAGATATGGTCAACAAAAGCTCAAACGTATGTGCTTGACTCGCGGAGGACGGAAATCTCTCCGGTTTCATTCAGAATATCTTCATTTGTGCTTCAAAGATGAACAAAAGCCTTGGGTTTGAAAGACCATGAAGGTGAACAACCTGATGGCAGAATTTTATGGTGGAACTATCAGCTTACAGCAACAATGAGGTTATGTACTGACGGAATCCTCTGAAAGCTCTGCAGATTTCCATAGAATTTAAACTCCCTCTTATTTGTAAAGTCCAGACCTTCCATGTTTACTAAACATTTTGCTTTCACCTTCCTGTAAGCATGTAGTGATTTACTCGGATTTACTCTCAGATTTTATGTTTAAAGCAGATTTTTGTCCCAAAATGCCCAGAAAATGTGAACGATTCAAAGTGAGCCTTGTCCCAGAATGCTGCTTGTGCTCTGGAAACTCCCTCTGTCCTTGAATCCTCACTCACCCTTTTTGTTTTCTGTGTGTGTGTGTGTGTGTGTGTGTTTTTCCAGATGCATGTCCATCCCTATCACGATGAGGGCCATACGCAGGAAAGTGGCCAGCTGGATGACTCCTCCCGTACCTGCAGCTGACCCAGAGTCCTCTGCTGTCATGGAGAGCGATATAATCCGTGCCGTCCACCCGTCTGCCTCCGTCTCCTGTGAGGCCGTTGAGGATGAGAGCGTGGTCTCTCCTTCAGGCCGCTATCTTATGTCTGTTGCTGCCCCAGTGGCTGATAATGCGAATACAGATGCTGTTGCTAACCGTTCCCCCTGTGCTTCTCTGGCTGTCTGTTTACACTGGGTGACCAGTGGACTTCCTGCAGAGCTTCTATAGGACGAGGAGAGATTTTACTACAGAGAAGTTTAAGAGATTTCTTACACTATTTTAGACACATCTTAAATCATTAAATAAAAAATAAATCTTAAATAAAGGTGTGTTATCTTAAAAGCTTATCGAAAGCTGTTTTATTTCATGAATGCAGGTCTGACTACTAGAAGTTAACAAGAAATCAGAGCTGTTCCTGGTCATATTGTGCACAGTTCATCAGTGTGCATTTATTCCAGAGAGAAAAAATACTTCTTGCGGAATAATCTTAAACCGTTACTAAACAAACTGCTAAATCTTGCATTTTAAAATGCATTTATTTCATGCATGGATTGCTCCTGACAGCGCTGCAGAATCTAGTTAGTGGTTGTGTATGGGACACCCTTAGCATTTCTGCCAGGGTCTGAAATTAACACTCCACCAAATGCATAAAAATGCGGCTTTGGCGAGTATATGAAACTGTGTTACTTGCCAATTGGTGCAATTTATTGAATTGCATTTTGAAAAATGCAACAAGTGCCAACCATCTTCCCAAATATGTAATGAGGATCACTTATAAATCTGTGCTCAACAAAAGACATGCTTTAGAGTCTCCCTATGGTTTTCCACCACAAAAGCCTATTTTATCTGTTAACTCATATCTTGTGATATTCATAAGTAACGTCTGCTTGTACTTTGTAGTCCGGGAATTTTATTGCCGTTTCAATGCTTAAGCCACACTTAAAAATGAATTAATCTAACTGTATAAAATAAAACATCCAACCAAGTGCCATTTTTAATTAAGAATATTTTTAAAAGGCCCATGAATATGTGTAGCTTCAAGGAACATTTTCCATATGATAATGTAGAGCATCCAAGTGCAGTTAATACAGGCACACAACTGAAATAAGTATCCTGCTCTAAATGTCACATCTGGACATTTCAGAACATTTTTCTTTACTTTATTAATATGAATAAGGAGTAATGCATGTCAGAGACCCTCTGCTAGACAAATTCTCATCAGACGTGGTCACAGAAGATGATGGCAGGTAAAAAACAAATAGTGAAGTTCTGTTAAAAGCATTGCATACAGTAACATATTGCTTTAATACAGTGTGACATAGGGCTGCACAATTAATCGAATTTCTAATCGCGATTACAATTATGGATGCCACAATTGATCGTTCAAAGTGGAAATTAATAGTTCAAAGTCCACTTATGTTATTCTGCGTGCTTAAGATGCATTTTTTTCTTTCTGCATGTTATCTTAAGGGTTTTTCCCCATTATTTTAATTTTAGTTTTAGTATAACATTATAATACAATTCATATTTTTACTTTTTTATAATTTAAAGAAGAAACCAATCCGATGTATAGTTGACATTTGAGGCTTAATACTATAGAAAAGCACTTTTTCAGTTAGTGTTTTCAGCTTGTTTATTTTCATATAAAAATACGGCATGCAGTTGCATCAAACAATGGTATAAACATCATTCAATGTAAATTGTGATAATCGTAAATAATAATCACAATTACAATTTCAAGG